CGCACGTTGGTTCCCTGGGCAAACCAGCCCTGGGCGCTTGTCATTAGCCACATGAGCATCTCAGTTCTCCTTTTCTCCAGGACCAGAACCCCAGACAATGGGAGTGGCTGGTTTCCTGACAGGACACTGCTAAGTGATTTCACACACGGCCACTCATGAGTGACCACCACCACAGCAGGGTAAAGACAGGAAGAAAACACCAGGCTGCCTGCTCCTCACGGGATCACTAAGTTCTTTAGCAGCTGTCCCTTGCCTCCAGGAAGACAAATGAAGGTTTCTCCTGCACCCTACACACACACCCCAACCCACAGAAAGAGCATAAAACATTCACCCTGACACAGAGGCCTTAGCTAGAAGAAGTATCATTAGGAGAAAGCAGAGAGAATTCTCCCAGGTTGTGACGTGTCTTGAGGTTCTGTGCTTTGGAAAAGCGGACAAGGTTGGGCCTTGAAATCCCTTTGGGTTTTTGTTTTTGTTTTTTCCTTCTTTTTTTTGCCTCCAAAGAGGAAACGTCGACTCCCTTCCTGTGCTAATGGCACCGCCATACATTGTAAGGAGGCAAATGCTACAAATGAAACCATTTTTTTCTTTTTTCACCCCAGTCCACACCACCCCATCTACTAACAAGCACACCAAAAAATCCTGTCAGGATGGCATTTCCAAATGGGTTTCCCAAATTAGGCTTGTCCTTACACACACACACACACACACACACACACAGATCAGGGACAGAGAGCATTTAAAACCCATCAGGGGCATTCACAGGATAAGCAGCCATTCGCAAGTCTGCTGACGTCAGATATTAAAAGGCACTTGCACTGCTGCATACATATGCATAGTATACGCTGCTTAGCCTATACCCTGAAGATCCAGGAAGTGCCCTTTGAACACCACTGCCATCTAAGCCAGGAAGACTTTGAAGGTGAAAACATCAGGGAAATATTTCAGCCACTACCTTTAGCATCACCACTCCTGGGAAACAGACTTGATCTTACCTAGCTCCCCTCTGTACCAAAATCTGAACCTCAGCCCAGGGAACAGCTCCATCCCCTGCTCCGTGTTGCTCTTAAATTCTTTTACTGCCCAAACCAACCAATCTTTAAAGCAAGGGACACCTCCCCACAGGATGGAGGGCAAACTCCACTGAACTCAAAGGAAAGGCCTCAGGGGCCACACAAGCCAGACTCACACTGGAAGGGCATTCGATTATAAGAAGTCTTTGGGGGCCTCCAATAAAATGATTTAAAAAGAAGAAGTCTTTGGGGAGGAATGAGAAGAGAAAATGAATGGATATGGGCTTTCTTTCTGGGGTGATAAAAGTGCTCTGAAATGAAATTAGATCGCTGTGAATTGCAGGACTCTGAATATACGAAAAGACTCTTGTTACTTTAGATGTGTGAATTATATGAAATATCTGAAATATATCTCAATAAAGCTGTGATTGAAAGGGGGGAAAAAGTCTTTACTTGTAACTAGAACTCACAGAGGGCAAAGAACACCTCAGAGCCACAAATCCCCCAGCCAGCATTTCCTACCAGGGCAGCCAGGGGCTGGCAGGTGGCAAGCAGATGATACCCATCCTCCAGCCCCTCACCTTGGGCAAGGTCCCTTCTAAAGGGTTTTGGATTCAAAGTGGTTGAATGGGAAGAACCGGGCCTAGGTTCTGGGTAGCAAGAACAAAGAGAGAAAACTCCAGATGTGAACTCTCTCAGACTGGGGGTAGGGGCAGAGCCTCTGGAGGCCATGCATTGCTTGGTGCAAGGGAGGGCCTAGAATCGGCCATTTCTCTCCTCAACACACACACACACTTTACCAACAAGTCTCCAATTCTTCCTCTGGTCATTAGACTCAACCATGTGTGCCTCAAACCGAATCTTGTCTGATTATACAGCGTGTAGAATTTAAGTGAACAATAAATAATGCCCTAGAGTCCATGGTGGGGCCATCCATCTTTGTCTTTAAAAGAGCATTTCAATAATTCCATATGTGCTGGGAGACCAAGGAGAGAAGGGGGCTGCCTGTGAGGCGGGAATAATCCATCTAAATCCATGGGGGCTGGATGAGAGGCATTCCTGGGCAAGCAGGTCTCAGCTGCAGGCTAGGCTGCCTGAATGTCAATTCCTGACAAAAGGCAGGAGGCTGGGAGGAGGTTCTCAGCATGGACGAGCACGGGGTGGAGGCACCTTGGAAAAGTTCACCCTGGGTGAGGTGGCAGTTGGTTGGAAAAAAGGGGAAGTGGCCCTGACAGCTGTGCATTCCTGTCCTAAATCCATCTCTGAGGCAGACCTTAGACTTCGGCAAGACAAAAGCAGGGGCTGAAGCGGGCCTGTCCACACCCTATCTCCTCCAGCTCTCCAAAGCTGCCCACTCCTTCTGGAAGTCGAGCTTTTAATTCACCGCCACCTCCCCGGATCTGTGGAGGCAAACTGGGGCTGAGCCAGAGCCAAAGAGAAGCTCCCTAAATACACACAGAACGAAACAACAAAAAACCACTGCCCTCGTCAGCCCCCATCCCCACCTCCAGCCAGCTTACTGCTGGTTGGATTTCCTTTGGATGAGTAACACAGGGCCCTGATCTGCCTCTATGCACCAGAAAATCCACACCTTGGGTCAGTCCCACCCTTTGCAGGAAAAAGCCAGGGTGTTGTTCCCCCGCCCCTAACACACACACACACACACACACACACACACACACAATCTTTTCTAGAGAAAACCTGGAGTGTGTGTTTGTGTATGTAGCATGTGGGGGAGGGGGGCTTACAGTTCACCAGGGGGTCCTCAACCTCCAGTCCTGGGAGGCTCAGCTCAGGAAGGGAAGTGTTCCTGCAAGACTACCCTGGGAACTTCTGCCCCGCGCCCTCCGGAAGGCCGTGCACACCCCCACCAGCTTGGGAACACGCTAATCTGCTCAGATCCCCCTCAGGTAGACCTGGAAGCCACAGAGAGAGAGAGAGAGGTGGGGGAAGAGGGAGAGGGAGGCATACCTCCTAGTCTCCCAAGCCTGGGGGTGGGGGAGTCCTAGGCGGGCAGAGCCTCCCCCTGCACCACTGCCGCCTCAAGCGCGGCCACCTGATCCCTGGGGGAATCAGGTGTCCGCTCCGGGCATCAAGCCTCCCGGGGGTCGCAGACACTCAGTCCGGGGCAGACAATGGAAAACTTGAGGACGGGCCCTGGACCCCCAGCGGTCTGAGATTGGGGCTGTCCCCTGGGACAATGAGTAGAAAGCTGGCAGGGGGGCTGAAGACGCCCCGGGGGAAGCCGCCCGTCTGGGGACCCAGCAGAGCCGGGAGTAGCGCCCAGGGTGAGCAGGTGACACTGGCTCCCGCAGGTGGCGGGCGGGCGCCCCGGTGGGGGCGACGCCGCGCGGCGAGGTCGGAGCGCCGGCCACCGCCGCAGCCGCGCCCCCGGCGTCCTACCTTCATGTCGCTGATGATGGTCTGGAAGAGGCCTCCGAGCGCGCCGCATTCCTTCTCAATCACAGCCTCCATTTTCCCGGCGCCGGCAGGGAGGACGCTCGCTCGGGCCGCCTGGACTGCGCGCGGAGCCGGGCTCGCTCACCCGGGCGGAATTTCACCCCGAGCGACCCACCCCCGGCTGGCTCGCAGGGTGTCGGGCGGGGAGCACGGAGTCCACCAGACGGCCTGTCCAGTGCCAAAAACAACGCCGCTCTCGAGGCTGGCCGGGCTACTTGCAGCGCTCGGCTCCGGGCTTGGCAAATGCCGGAGGAAGACTGCCAATCAGGCCACCACGGGTGCCCCCGACAGGAATGGCAGAGCCCATCTCGAGGAAGAGAAAACCGCCCGCCGACCCGCGGGCAGCGCCATCGAAAAATGCAAGCTGTTCAAAGGCGTTGGATTTCTCTGGGATTTAAACAAATCGCGTCGCAGCAGAGCGGGTGTGCTCGCGGCGCCCGGATCTGTTGCTCCCGCGCGGCCGCCGCCTCCTTTTC